ATATATATTTATATATTTATTGGATTTTATGATTATTATGTGTTTTCTCTGTTAAGTCTATGATTTTGAAGTTCTTAATTTTAACTCTTTAAAAACAAAATATATAAAAAAATATTTTGTTGATAGAAGAAGATACTTGCAGATTTCTAAGGATTCAATTCTCAAAAGTCAATGTTGGTATCGTACCAGAAGCCTAACCACATTGTCTTGATTACCTAACACCAAATTATGCCATTTTTTAAATTAAAAATCTCCTTATTGTTCAAATCTTGCACAAAATTTTTACGTGCATTATTTCCCTTGCATCAAATAACGAATGAAATATATAGGTATTTAGTAAAAATCCGTGTTAAAAAGTACAATTAATCGTGTTGTGGAAGGCGATCATTGTCTCTGAAAGAGTTTCCAAGTCTCCTTGCTAATGGCTCGGAATGTAACACACCAGCTAATTGGATCGCTGTTCACAACTGCTGACCAAACAATAAATATTTAAACCTGTCTCTGACAATATTAAATCTGTTGGGTAAATGTTTATTTTAATTATAAAACTTTGCATCGTGTGTATTTAATAGAAATTCAAACAAAACAGCATAACTTTAATGCACTTTTAATATACTTATTATAACCAAATACGGTTTTGAGGTTACATACTTGTAGACATTCGCGCAAATAACTAGATGGCGCCACTGAACACTCCCTATGTCATAAATCACAATCACAACGACTCTTCATGTAAAATAATCCGGACACATTAATATGTAAATGTTGCCACACTTACATCAATCTGGCACACGCCACATCAATTATGAACTCCATTAGAAATATTTTAGCTATCCATCACTGACGAGTTAACATATTTATTTCTCTTAACTGCCATGTAGAAAAATACCTGGTTAGTAGTGTATTTATTAAGCAAAGGTAGGTAATATAGATTGTTTTGTCTTATATAGAATTTTCCTTAAACTTTTCTTTTAATCATGGTCAATTCAAATATTTTGTTAAACATTTTTATTAACAGTCTGTAGCTATTTATATATATCAAACTGATCGCAGGCAGCGGTCTCAATTAGACGTCGACACAGTACGAAACTATGTACAAACATACATTGGCCTCTTACTTTTTCAATAAATCGTGTAAAAAAAAGTCAAGTTGCTGGTTGTAGGATATAAATAAATGATTCTGTTACCAATTCACCATTCTATTATAATTTCTAGCATTTAAATAAAATTATGCTGTTACGACTTTAAGCAAATAAAATTAGATTGTTTGAAAACATACACGGCAAGTTGTCAGAAGAGAAAATATGGGAAGTTATTATTTTACTTATCATATCCTAGTACATTTTAGATCAATTTGTAAAACAATTTATCAGCAACAATAAAACTGAAATGTCATAAATTATAATTCACTTTTCCTCGCAACCCCAACTCGAAGCTAACACAAATAAAACTAATTTGCCAGAACAAAAGGCATGAGGTTGTTTACGCTAACAATAGAGGGGGTAATTGAGCGCCGTATCTGATGCTACATTGTTCATTGCACGTCCTCAGTACAACTTTTAACCGGCACTTTATCGGTGGCAATTGCTTTGTTTGTTTCGGACATATCTTAATTAGTTATTCAGCATTGTCATGGCAAGTAAGTCTGCGAACAGTATCAGCATTTAACATACATCAGAAAATAAAACTGTTTATCAAAAATATACTCCTAATGAGATTCCCACATATAGAATTGCTATAGTATTGGAGCTTTAAGCGCCTGATAATAAAAAATGGTTGCTATTTTTTATTAACAGGCGCAATACAATATTTAATGGTTAAACCTTTTAAACGTTTATTGTATCGTATTGCCGCTATCAACCTCGATATCATAATATGGTTATATGTATTTTAACTAATGAAATATATGTCATATTATAACTACGCTGCAGTAGATATTCGCTTCAATAATTTAGGTTTAGTTACATAACAAACACTACACGAGAAAAATACGTCCATAAAAGTAAAGCGCACTTCAGCACTAAACAAGCGCTTCAGTGCTATTTATTGTAATACCTTTTGTAAAAGCTGCGCTGCAAAACCGGCTTGTGACGTTTTCATCTTACTTCTTTGTACAATGGACGACGGTGGTAAATTTTAAAAATTCTCTTAATCTTGTATTTTTAGTAAAACCGCTACGTTATTTGATAACAAGGAATCTATTTGTTATTCGATAAAAAGATTATTAGGTGTCTTTCGTGATTAAAGTGGTGATTTTTGATTATTCGGAAGTTTTTAGTTAGTGGTTTTGTGGTAGCAATTAGCTGGCAGTTGGTCGATAGGCGTTAACATTACATTAACGACCTCATTAGACGCTTGTAGTGCGAGCTGTAATTAAGGGCTGCAGCTTGCATCGCGTAACGCTTGTTAGACATTAATTATACCTTCATACTAACGATATATTCAAGTAAGGAATACTATAACAAAATGAGTCAGTACCTCAATCTTTTAAAAATAATTGTTACAATCAAATACACATTTTAGTGGAAACTTAAGAATATACTATTTATATTGTTGTGTAACCTACACAAAAAATGTTTTACCTTTTTCATAAAGAGTTAGTTGACTGTAGACTTTTTCGACTGTATTGGCCTTGGAATCCCATGTTAAAATACACTTAGACTCCCTCTGCTATCCCTGACACTTTGCAATTAAATACACGTCGAGTTTAGCATTGAGAAATCCAATCAATCGACGAGTGTCGGCGAACGTCGGCGGACTTTGTAGTGGAAAGGGTTCGTGAAATGTTTCGCCCTAATGGCGCGCCTAATGCCATCACAAACTTTATTGAATCAGCCGTCACTCCGTAGTTCGACTGCTAATGTAATGTAACGCCTAGTACATTCAGTATTGGACTAAGTAAATAGTCTATACTTTTATATAAGTATCTACCGATTATCCGTTTATATTCGTATGAAATGGTAAACCAACCTAAGAAAAATCACATTTATAATCTATTGCCGATTAATTTTCGCAGGCGCCCAAAAACGAAAAAACAAAAGATTTCAAAAGGTCATGTCTATCTTGTCACTTCTATGAAGGTCTATTCTATGATTTTACATTTACATAATATTTTTGGTTAATATACTAATAATTTGATGTATATATAACACAATGAAGTATCGCGCCTAACACAAATAATGCGGCAGCGAAAACAATGTCAACCAGTAAATTGGAATAAATAAAATTACAGGCGTTATTTGTTGAGCGTGCGTTGATTGTAGAAAGAATTCGGATAAGTGGATATCGAATAAATTCCCGCTTCATATGAGGGAAGCGCACTCAAAGCTTTGTTTCTGCTGGGTTATTCGGCTCCGGACTGCGACACGACATTCTGCCAGCGAGCAGCAAGACATTCTAACAATTTTCACTTTATAACAAACTCGTAACGTATTTTCTTGGATTCCTTAGTAAAAACTCATGACATTTTTTATTTTTTAATAAACAAATTAAGATAAACGAAATGTCATTATAAAATTTCTAGAAAGTATTATGTGGTATGTCCATTCTTTTAATATTACTCCTACCTACAACAGTTAAATTTCAATAGTTTCAACTTATGTTTGATGGATAAAAGTTCCAACTATTATGACGTCGATTTGCGGTCAAAGAACTCGCACAAAACCATTCCGTCTGAAGACAGTGAACAAAGCTTTCACGGGTAAGGGGCTCTGTTTTTGCAAAAACCTGGAAAATGGTAATAAAATAAATTTAACAGTAATAAAGTGTTCCGGTCCAAATCAGTTAGCGGTCAAACGAGCGCATTAGACGCAGATTTAGGGCTACCCTCCCACTGACATTCGCCCTTACTACGATAATCAACTGCGTAATTGACGAAACAAAACTATTTTTCCGATATTTTGAATAGGTTAAAACTCCTAAATTACTGTTTTAGTGTCTATTTTTTTTCAAATATACGCGACCTTTTTTAAAAATAGATGAAAAAACAAAATATAAAAACGACAGTTCGGCCATCTTGAGAAATTAAAACAAATTAGTTTAATTTTTAATATCAGGAATCATAGTAAACCTGACATATTTCGAAAGAATGTTAGATTTATTGCAATATATGTATTCCTGAATGAAAACAAATGGTAGGGGACAGGAGGACATTATTACGCCCCGAGGCTCCATTGGATTATTCGTCAAGGCAACGTGGCCGTTAAACACAGTAAAAATACCATTGTTTGAGCGCAAGCGAGATACGAACCCTAACCCTTACGCGCAACTGCTCCTGTCGTCTCGATCAAATTTTGACTAATTGAATGAGGTAAAACCAATCGACATCATTCTAGAAATAACTTTCTGTGTGTCACTCGGCACAACAGCTTTCGTCTTCCAATTCAACTTACTATACTCTTTGAGATAATCATATTATAATATTAACATTGATATTTTTTTACATTTTAAATAAGACATCTGAAAATATTCGAAAAATTTCTTCTTCATAGTTTTTGTGAATAACGACATTCTACCAACCCAGAAACAATCAACATTAATTGGAATCACGACAACCAGGAAAGTAGATTAATATATTACACAGAGGCTACTCTTTAGTCGTAAGACTACTCGTCTTTGTTATACAACGGAATTATCGATGCCTTAAAAAGTTATACTCAAATTTAATTCAATATTTATTTACGTTAGGAACAAACATAAAGTATGACTTTATGAACAATATTTTAAACAACGAAAAAGTCGTTTATAAATAACATTTGGTCAGAAGAACTTACAATGTAAAATGCCGCCATCTGTCAACCAACGGGGAAAACTACATGACGTCCATTTCGTCTCGTCAGTGAAGGAAGGATATTTTTTTATTAAATTGTAATGAAAAAAGAACAGCAGTTGGAAATGAGACTTAATCAGAAAATACAAGTAAAAGGATCTCGTTCCAACTTTGCTCAACCTTCTCAGAACCTTAATTCTCCCAGTTTCATATTTTTATTCTTTGATAGTGCAACGTAGTTTGTTTGTACATACTCTATGAACTTTGAATTAAATTTTTTGCCGGCCGGCTGTCATTGTGTCATTTTCACTTCACGCGAGCTGCTTAAGGGAGAGTGAGTGTTGTTCGGTTGACTTCCTGTTTCACATTTTAATTTATTGTAAGTATTAATTTTCATTAATATATTTAATTAGTATATTTTCATATCTTGTGTATTTCATAGGTATTGTAGGGATCATTGCGAAACAATTTTTTTACATTAGGACGCGATGTTCTTTTGTTCGGGAAGATTCATCTAGAAATTGGCCAAGCGCATCTGACATAAGTATTACATTCAAATAAAAAAAACGGTTTATGAGAAATACGTTTCCAAACCAAATTTTTCACTGTATTTTTCCATTGAATGTAATGTTGCGCAAGAGGGTATTCTCGGAAGTGTCGCGCAATTAATTTCCTTCCTCATAGATTAGTTTGAACGAATGTTCACACGTCTTTTTTCATAACGTCGACGTGAAACGTTACGTTAAACGTTATAACATTTAACCGAATTTACCATTTGAATACACTGTAAAAGATTTATTCATTTAATTAGTATAACAAGTTTTTATAATAATTCAAATTAATTTTTAGATTAAATTGGTAAGTCTGACCTTCATTTAAGTTTTCAATTAATCTTGAAGGTTATAGCGTTAAGTTATACATATCACTTTATAATTTACATGGCTATGGAGAATTTATTGTTAGGTTTGACAATGTAGTCCGTTGTTAGGTTGAAATGGAAGATGGGTTACATAGGAAAAGGGTACGAAGTGAAACTGATGACGAAATCAAGGGAAATTTAGCGAAAAAAGTACAAGTAGACAGGTATGTGTGGTGTATGGTTAAGCATTGACGGGGGATTATTGGTGATGGATTAAAGTATTGGCTATAAATATGCCAAATGGACGCTTTCAAGTTAACCCAAAATTGTTGTTACTTTCTATGATTATATTGAAGGTTGAATGTTTTGATTTTACCTTGGAGTAGATATTTAAAACCTTTTGTAAGACATAAATCAATGCAATGCTTGTAAAAAGACTTGTCCTTGCTATCTATTGCATCATATTACAATTGGTATGACCATTTTTATTTGCTTGTTGATTGTTTGTCCTACATTTGTAGTAAGATTTCTCTCAATATTTTTATGCATGTAGTGTGAAGATCAGGTATTGTTATAGTTATTAAACTTATATTAGAAATGGATAATTACATTCTTACTGAACAATGGTACTATGGAGAAAAGGTATATTAAAATTTAATCAGTTTAACTGAATAAGATTTATCATTCAGTTAAACCTTATTACATTTTATTGTAGCACTTACAAATGATTTAATACCTTTAAGTAAAGATTAAGATATCTCTGATCACATTCAGTTGTTTCTTAATATCAATGCTATAAACATTAGACAAGAAATAATAACATGTTGGGTGAATGTTATTCTAAATTTCTTATATTACATGCGGAGTTATAAAAACATTTTTATTATTTTCATTAGATGTTATGTCATTGAAATGATATTGTTAATTTTTTTACTGATTATGTCCAATAATAAATAATAAAATATTTATCATTACTATAGTTTAAAAACAATAGCTAACCCATCATTTTTTTGTTAAAAGATTGCAATAAGCAATTTAAAAGTTAGTTTTTTCATAGACAATTGTGGAACATTACTGTTTACATAACATTAATGTTTACTTAAAGCCAGTTTAATTATTAATTAGTAAATAATTTCCCAGCTGAATAAATTTGAAGTGCCCGACAATGTCAATGGAGCACAAATGTTTCTGCCGCGGGGATGAGGTCACCAGCTTGGACCTCGATAAGCCCCAGCACCTCTTGCCTATGATGAGACCTTTCTCAATGAGGTTATTTCACACCTACTTGTCAGTACATTGAATAATTTAGACTTAAAGTAGACTTGTGTAGTTTAAAGTTGGGTAAATTGCATTTAGATTATAAAGAAAGGCATGAAGTGAAAGTAATTTCATTCTTCATGCCAAATTTTAGTCCTCTTTTCTTTCCGGAGTGGTAAGTAGATTTAGCGGAGGAGGAGAAGCATAGGAAAGGGAAATCCACTTTCCGTGCTCCTTGTCTCTGTCAATTTAAGTGAGCAAATACGTATACAAATGCGGATGTCTATGGACAGTAAGCACTTCTCTATTTTGGTGATTTCAGGTGGCTGTTTGTCTGTTTATTACTTTATACTTTAAAACATTTATGTTCTATGTTGATATATTTATCAGTTTCATATAACTTTTAAACAATGCAGTCTAGTTAATACCTTATAAGTAACGATGTAGAAACCTAGATAATACTTATGATGAAATGACGTATTTCACACAATTGTTCATATACAATAATTAGCACTTCTAAGTCATAAGTAATATGTTTTATGCTTATGCAATACTATACTCAACTATATAATCTATCAATTTATTCATTTGTAAGACATTTACAATATGTTGGTGGATTTGGTTCTTGAGATTATCTACAATGGTTTCAATTATTTTCCATATACTCTTCATTGTAATGTTATTAAGTGTATATTTGCTTAGTATTGTCTTTTATTGTGATCCATTTTGCATTAACAATTGCAGTAATTAATGACTTGTAAGAATGGTAATTATTTGTTACATGTATACAATGTTATTTTATTTACATATGGTTTTCTATATTTAAAAAGGGATAAATTCTTTTCTATATTATTAAATCTTTAGAGTTCTTGCTTCATAACACATCATACAACATTTACATAGTTCATTTCCAGTTTTTATGTCCAGTTATATACAAATGAGTTTATATTCATCATCGTCATTATCAACATGCCCTTATCCCTACTGAGGGTTGGCACAGTACTCCATACATCTCTATCAGCTGTCATACCTGAATCTACCCCTTATCCTCTTTCACAAAATCCATCCATACTTTCTTTGGTCTTCCTCTACCTTGTAGCCATCTACATTCAATCTCATTACTTCTTTGTTTATATTATTCATTAGGTAATAAATTCTTTGAACATAGTAAAACACCACTCTGCAATGCTATTTTACTTGTAAAAACCTATAAACCTAGTATAAAGTAATTGCATATTATTCTAAGAATGGAATGGTTTATCCTTGATTACTTGAACGCCTTTGAAGGTTTGTAACATGCAGAATGGCGTGACCTTTGAACTGTTACTGTAACTGAATCTTAGTGGATTAATTAAAAACTTCTGGACATTTTATTTATCTGTTGACTCGTCGTTCGGATATTATACTCACAATAGCCAGTCACTTATTTTATGTGATGATACAAAAAGTAAACTGTCAAAGAGAAGCGAACAAGTGGAATCTTGTTTTTGAAGCATTTTTGAATTTACATCAGCCTCGTATCGTGAAAGATCAAATGCAGTTCTTTATAGACTTAAAGAGCTGTTATTATTTTATTTTGACTGCGTATTTGTTGTTAACGACTTGCGATGTAACATACTAGGAACTACAAATTGGAAAGATCGTCCAATGTATTAATTGCTGTAATTAATCTTATCGTACATAAATTGATTACATCGGTTTTGTGACGTATGCAGAGGTAGCAAGGATGGCCTCGGAACGTCTCGACGTCTGTTGATTACATATCTATATCTTTCCACGTCTGTTGCATCGATATAGTTGATGATTGACTTAAATCGATTAACGTAATAACCAGTTTACACTATTCCAGTCAAGATCCAATCCAGCGCTGGATTACAAATGGGAAACGTAACGTAAACGGATTGGCGTTTAAGATTTGAATCCAGTACGAGCACTGCGAAATCATGTAGTCAGGTAATCGAATGCCATTCCAGTGCTGGCTGAAGAATTGTGCCGTAAACAAGTGTTGATTACTTTGAGAATTATTTACCAGGATTGCGAAGAAAGAATTATACAATGAGAAAATTAACTGAAGACCAAACCTTACAGTTTATTATGTTGTACAAAGAAAATTCGTGCTTATGGGACATATCGTCAGAGGATTATAAAGATAGAGCTATGCGCCAATCAGCTTTGGAAAGAATATGTGAGGGTATGCAACTTCAGTCTTTGACAGTGGATGATGTAAAAAGTAAAATAAAAAGCATTCGTTCCACCTATTATCTTGAATTAGATAAAATTAAGAAGTCACTAGATTCCAATGCAAGTCATGTTTATGAACCAAAAATGAAATGGTTCCCCGAATTTCATTCATTCATAAAAGATGTAGTGGTGAAGCGAAAACCATTGGTATGTATTTTAGGACAAATTATTTTTTATTTATCACCATTAATTTTGGCCTACAAATAACACAAATTATCAACATGCATTTGCCATTTCCTTTTATCCGCAAAATAAAAACTCGTAATTTTTCTGTTTTTCGTCTAGTTTTCCACTTTTTCGAAACTCTTCCTCAATTTGTTTCAATCCTTGTTATGTGATTAGCTCCTGTATATAAGAAAATAATTCATTTCCAGGAATATTTTATTGACAATAGTGTATTTGAACACTTGGAGCAATCTGAAGACACTACTCATGGAGACTCCAATGTTGTCGCCTCTCCTGCTGAACCTCGAAGAAAGAGAAGTAGAATTTCAAAGCTATCTACGATAGTCAGTAATGTGGAAGAGATGCAATATGATGTACCAAAAACCAAAATAAAAACTGAGGAAGATGAATTCGATGTGTTCGGGAAACACGTTGCGAAGCAACTTAGAGAACTGTCTTTAAAACAGGCTATCCTAGGTCAAGATGAAATTCAGAGAGTGATTACGAAATGTCGACTGCGCGATTTGAAATATACAAATAAAAAATCTTATTGGAAATATAGAAATACGTATAATCCGGAGTATATTGTTGACACACAAGTCAGTGATGATTCAACACCAGGACCGAGTAACATATGCCATGTGAATATACCACTGAATATGCCAGAATCACATTTAGACATGGACTCCGATGACGCTTGAAATATAATAAATAGATAAAAATAATATAATAAAGAATGCATGTCTTACTTTAATATTATCTTTCAATGCCCTTATATATAATTTCTTTGCAGACTTCTGGTGTAATTTTTAAAAAGTTTACTTTGGTAATCGAAACATATAACTGAGGCCTGAAACTATCTCCGTCTTCATAATTTTCTTCTGTCATTCTCATTGCAACTCTATAATCAGTGGGATCTTCTGCTTTCAGCTGTTGCGAAAGTAATGGCAATCTTTTTCTTTAATATGCTCAATCGTCACTGTAATCATGATCATTCGACAGTTTTAGTGGACGGAAATCATGTAAATACTGTCGTAAATCCTATCTAGCGCTGGGTTACTGCACTGGAATAATGTGATCTGGTAATCATATGAAATCAAATACGTTAAACCATTCCAACTATACTAGGCTTTGCTAGGATATGATTTACTGTAGTCGAATTGCGGGATTCATATCTACGACCACCTCCGTACCTTTTTGCCGTAAGGTGCTTTGAAAAGTTATTTCGTATTCCACGTATCGGAAGCGCATTCTTTCATACAATGTACGGTGAAATGCCATTTATTTACATTGTTCCATTCCAGCGATCAAACTCGGCGCAGTATAACAATTGAAAAATGTAAATACACAGGAATGTACTGCGTACAATCGAGAATGTGTTCGATTGTTGGACTGGGATAATGTAAATATGGCATTATGCTAGTCTAGTAGGACAGTAGCGCTGGCCTGGCATGGCCTGAGGGCTCACCGGCGCCAGTTATGTTAACTGGCATAATGTAAACCAGGCGTTATTCATAGGGTCAGTAACCTTGAAGCGGCTTTAACGAACATGCTCGCAAGCGGGGTTCTAACGACCGAGCTGTACCACCGCACTGGCCTGCTGGCCTCGCTGTGGCGGGCCACCGCTGACCTTACCATGGCTGTACATGTTGCTCATACATACGCAAACGGACAGACCATTAGGTTCGTGTGTAGTTAGCTGTCGATTCCAACTAGTAGATACGGTAGTTAGGAACAAATAAATTGCTAAACAATTAATAGTGTACAGTAAAACCAGTTGTAGGATATGATAAAAAAATACAGACGGATTGATAACCTCCTTCTTTTTGACGTCGGCTAAAAACTAATTACAATATATTTTACACATTAAAGATAATATTTTAAAAACTGTAATAACATTGAAGTCCAAAATTCTTCAATTTAAATTAAATACGATCAATTAAAACTGCATTATTTCTTAGCCATTATCACTTGACTCCAAACTTCCAATCGGTTCACGATCGCGTCGCCTCGTCCTTATTCGCGTTTCCACTGGTTACCGAGTGAGCGAGATAGCTGTGCGCTCGCGAATGAGACGGTTGTATACATACGCCTAATGGGAAGCCATGGGCAAGTCACAACGCAACAAGGGTTTATATCATATCATAGTAATATGTACGTCACGTTATTGATATTGAAGTAACTTAATATTGTTTCATTAATTCATTATTTTCGTATTTAAATAAGTTAATCTATGGTTTCGTCTTTTTATAGTGTAAACATTTTGTTACTTGCATTTTTAATATATAGTGCAGCTGTTCCACTACATTAGATTGCAAGTTTGTCCAATTTTGTGGCTCAATCACGCTGAATGGATATTTATTTATACATTTGATACTCTTATCTGTATGGGGTATCGAGTTGGTCAGTTTATCAAAACTTAACCTTTTTCGTTAATCAATGGAACATTCTAGATACGACAATTTTATAACAATAACTTTTAGTATAATACGGTCTTTCTGCAAACGAGCTGAGAACGTAGAGCATTGTGGTTGCTAATCAGATACTTTTCTAATTGTGTATACGTTGTCGTGGGTAAAAATAATTGGTACGTCTAGCAGCTTTAAATATTTAATTTAATAATTATAAAATTTCGAGAAATTATTTTGCATTTTCTTTTCGTTTGGACTTTTTAATTCTCGATTAACTCAAAGTGTCGGGTTTGAAATGAATACATTGCAAGCAATATATTTCATTGGTTCAATAAAAAAGAGTAAATCTAGCCAGCATCAGAATCTACAGTCAAAGTTTTGAGATATTTGTCTTGTCCAGTACAGTCGTGTAGAGAATAACTGTACAATCATTTTTGTTACAAGAAATCACCGTTATGTTAGCGACTGTACTAGCGCTATTTCTTTTGGAAAATACGCTAACTGCGGGTAACTAGACTGCATTGGAATATAATTTTATTGATGACTAAGTTTAGGTGTCTTCAAGTGTTTTGGTGTTTTTCAGGGTTCCGTACCTCCTACGAAAAAAACGGAACCCTTATTTTTAATTAATCTTTAAGTAGTGTTAGATTACCGTAGAAAGTATTCAGATTAAAAACTGTTGAAAGTATTTAATAATTGTATTATAGTTTACGTTGGATGTTAGGAGTTGTGATTAACTAATTTAACTCTTATTAAGTGGATTTAATCGTCATTTTTGTATGTTGCAGCTTCAACAAAATGCCGCTGCAGCTGACCAAACCCGCGCCCCAGTTTAAAACCACGGCGGTCGTGAACGGCGAGTTCAAGGACATTTCGCTGTCTGACTACAAGGGCAAATATGTCGTACTATTCTTCTACCCATTGGACTTGTGAGTTTTTACACAAATATATTCTAGGAACCGCTTTATATGACCTCGGTTACAAAAATCAAAAAGAGCAGATCACAGCTAAACTGGTTAAAGTTTCCGAACCATAAATTAACGGTTCTTAGGACTGAATGTTGTTATGTGGTGTGTGAGGTTAGACGACTAGTTGTAATCCCCTTCATTTTAAAAAACATTTACATAGTATCAGAAATTTCATACATTAAAAGTACTGAATGAAATTCTTTAATATCTGGTCTGTCGTGAAATTATTCCGTTTATAAATATGTATAATTATGATTGTGGTGAGCTGAGGCGTGTGAATGTGTCGAGCTCCTATTACAGAACTGGTTGTGTGACCGCACTTGCCCCCTCTCTGCACGTGCTAGTTACGGTCAATGTCAGGGGCTAGGAATATTATATGTTATATCTACATTTTTATATTAACAGTAATAGGGAATTTAATCTGACCTTCGTATGGCCACGTAATGACTATAATTACTCTTCTATAATATATATTATATATACCTTACAAAATAAAAAAAATCACTTAACTTTGTAACATTTTATTTTACTTTTAATTGTAAAAAAGTTACTTGTAAAAAAAACCATACAAAATTTATACATCGTTATAGTTCTTTTCAAATATCTTGGCCGCTCAATATGATCGGCGCGCTGCGCAGCAACTCGCGTGAAGTTTAGCCCCCAATAGCTGAAAACGATTGTGTAAATGTTTCATTAATTGCCCTGTACTTTGTATTTGTTACAATGCATTGTTTATATTAACAGTACGTTCGTGTGCCCGACGGAGATAATCGCGTTCTCTGAGCGCGCGGACGACTTCCGCAAGATCAACTGCGAGGTGGTGGCCGCCTCCACAGACTCCCACTTCACGCATCTCGCCTGGATCAACACCTCGCGCAAGCAAGGTAACAACATCACCTCACCTGGTAGTCATATGTCCGATCGATACAAGAATCGCTGCGTTGGACACGCAGGATAGCGTTCACGCTTCGATAACACAACGCAACAGTGAGATCTCGCCTCCAGGTGGACGTCACCTCGAGCCGCGGACATATTTGAAGAGACGTATATCGCTGTAACTCACCCACAAATTATGTATTCTCATAAAATCAGCCAATATTTTTAACTTCTTGATACTGATGTACTGAACAGTAATAATTGCTGTGTTGACCATCTGTAGGAAAAATGGCTTTATGATGACTATCGCTAATTCAAGGTGATGATATGATTTTGCGTGTGCTTTTATATGTTTGAACAATGATAGTTATGTTGTTGTGTATGTGCAGGTGGTCTGGGCCCCATGAACATCCCCATCCTGAGCGACAAGTCTCACAGCATCGCGCGTGACTACGGCGTCCTCAACGAGGAGACTGGCGTGCCCTTCCGCGGACTCTTCATCATCGACGACAAGCAGAACCTGCGCCAGATCACCGTCAACGATCTGCCCGTCGGCAGGTGAGCGACACTCATCATCACCTCAATTGCGATGCCTCCGGTCCAAGAAACGATTTATACCTTGGTTTTTGGTTGTAGTGCATTTTGAAAATACATCATGTAAGGAAAGAAATTCTATGTTTGAAAATTGTTCCATTAATATAAAAACTCAAAAATGCAACGATAAAAGTAAATATAGTAAATGACGGATGTTTCTTATCACTAGATGTGTAGATATCGGATATCGGGCAGACGATGTCTGTGTCACGCATTCTGTTATCACTTATCACGCATATTGATATCTGTGTCATACCTGTGTGTTGCACCTTAGTCATTCATTGTATGTATCATTACATGTAGTGATTTGTATGGATTTACATTGAATTATTTACTGCGATAAAAATTACTACATCAAAATGAGCTATATTTTGTAGGATAAATGAGTCTTAAAAATAGAATTATGTTGTCGATATTATCCAGGAATCTAATCAAAAATAGAAATTTAAGTAATTATTTTAATTTGACAAACATTTTTAATATAAAATAATTAATTTTGGATAATAAAACGTTTAACTCTGGAACAGTAATCATAACAGACGACAAACAGATTACACGTACATTCCACATAAATAAGTTGTTCCACCCGTTTGTCGCAGATCTGTAGACGAGACGCTGCGGCTGGTGCAGGCGTTCCAGTACACGGACAAGTACGGCGAGGTGTGCCCTGCCAACTGGCAGCCCGGCGCCAAGACCATCAAGCCCGACACCAAGGCGGCGCAGGAGTACTTCGTCGACGCCAACTGAACCTCTGCACCTCCACATCTCCACACCTCACACACTCGTTATATCTTAGACTGCCTTGGTTAACCATTTGCCGATATCATAATCCTATATCACAAGGGTAAATATTCGTATAGTAATGACAATAAAAACATTCCATCGCGGTCCTGGCAACCATTATTCTCATTATATTAATTCTACATCACCTGCAGTCTGACATATAACTAGTGTGTATCGCTACATGTTTGAATATCAAACATGTTTCGTATGTTGTTTGTGATTTTTCTCATAAAAGTTAGTACGGAATCTCCGGCTGCAGTTGCATTGTAAGGAACAATCAGTATTGACAGAGATCCTATATCTTATGTGCAATCGAGGCTGTAATAAACCATGTTTCTATATTTTTGTTTTGTTTTATTACAATACCAGCGGTCGTCCGCAACTTCGTCGAAAATATGCCCGCAAATATCAACTACCTTCCGGTGAAAGTCCCGTCAAAAACAGACCAGCCGTTCTGGAGGTTATCCGGAACTTAAGCTGACAGACCAAAATGTTTAAAAATTGGCTTTGATTATATGTAAAGCAAATACATCATGCACACGATAACATACACCAATTCTGTTTACATTTCTTATAAATGTACGGTCGGGGAAAGAAGTTACTGTGGGTCGCCCGCGACTGGCCGCGCGGAATTAACAAAAACTTACTAAGCCTATATGTTCTACATCTACACCAAATTTCAACAAGATCCATACAGCAAAAATCGAGATACCTTCACACATGCATCCATCTGAATATTCGCATTCATAATATTAGTAAGATATTTGCACCTGTTACTAAACTACGTTGCGTCAATTTCTACGCAATAGAATTGTTTTATTTATAAAGCAAACTTGGTATCAGCGCCATCTAGTTTACTTTTAATACAAACGTTGCGTCAATTTCTATGCAATAAAAATGTTTTATCTATAAAGCAAACCTAGCATCAACGCCATCTAGTTTACTTTTAATACAATAACATCACTTGCACATTGTAAAATATGTCGTCTAAAAATTTACTTGCACGGTAAAAAGTAAAGCACATTTAGCGTGTTTTTTAGTCAATGTTAACTTATAGTATATAGACGACTGTAATCCTAATATAAACAAAACATTTAAATTTCACCGACTAGTAATTTTGTAATAATAAATAGTTTATGTTAATTTTAACGGTTTGTCCAACGTCTTAAGATTGATAACGGCGCATAATAAAATTCGTAAACAAAAACAATATACAGTAATTTGAGACGTACCTAATATAATTTTGTTACATTCCGTGGGTTTTTGTGATCAAATTCTCACTTCAAAACATATATATATTTTAGCATAATTCATACAACGTTTGCGTACAACATACTAATAAAATAAGTTATGTATGTTTTTCAAAGAAATTGTTTTAAAAACTACTAGGAATAATTTTTAGTTAAAGTATTTTTTGATTAATTTATCTGCAATAAAAAAACTAAACTTCACTAATCAACAAAACAATATGCCTATTTAATGTAAGATTTTAACAAGTTGGCAACACTTTCAAGCATATAACTTGTATTGCGTAGGTACTTTGTAGAGGTAATAAAAAAAACAATGAATTCCAATAATAAACGTAGTGTCAACAAAATTGTTCATTTCGTGTCTATATTGCATTCATTTGTTTCGTTCCCTTCATTCCCGCTCGGCTGCGGTGGGCAACGGGTGCCTCCTACGGATCTAAATTTAAAGCTCTTTATTTAATTCTTTTAATTAAAAAAAAATTAAAATGCACTACCTCAGTGACTATAGCAGTGGCAGCGGGACGTCTTTAGATTCGGTAAGTTTTTTTTAACTTTAATTAACTTAATTTAAACTTAAAAAATTTAATAAACATTAATTATGCTTCGTCGGTACTTCGTAAAACTTTGTCTTAGAATTCTCGATGTTTTGTTTAAATAGAGTGCTTATTTCTTTAAAGATGCTTAGCCAATGCTTAGTATCTTAGCTCTTGTTTATAATAACATATCAACACTTAACAATGGAGTTAACTTAGAAGCGACTAAACTAACAAAATCAGTTTCTATTTTGCTTTTTAATAATAGAAGTTATAGTGCAGTGCAACTTTTTACCTTGTTAAATTATAAAAATAACAACTAAGTCCCTGTTAAGAACGAAACATTATAAAACTTGAAATACTGGCCAAATCTTACAGATATTTTGTTATTGATGCCGTAGTTTATATGCCCATTAGTGCACAAGTATCGCTTTCATCATATCAAATAAACATACAGATATTAACAATTATAAAATATTTGTAAACGTCAGTTCATCGCTAAGATGAATACGATACATTTGCGCAAAGGGAAAAAAAATGGCGGCCATGTACTTTCTATAGATTCATAGTAACTAGAATCGGCCGCCATTGTCGCAAGTGATATCGAATTTCGTCTTATCTTATATGTTATTGTATCACCAATTGTTTATATAAGTATTTTTATTACAATCATAATTTAAGTAAAAAGCTCTACAAGTGGTTTGTGCTTTAATTGTGATCGAATGAAGAATGTTATACAGTTAAATGTAATATCGATATTGTAAATAAACTGTTATCAACATGAAACAGATTTGTTGAAAAATACGAGCATTTGTTTTATGAGGGTAGTCTAAAATTTAAACATATAGAGCTATCCGTGTTCACACTGTTGAAACATTAACATAAATCATGTTGTGATATGACTTTAACGTTATAGAGGTTTTATAATGATTAACGGTAGGGTATACACATAACTGGCCGATAGAGAAAAAAACAAACATTTGCCAAAAGGCGGTAGAGACAAAAAAAACATAAATACAAGTTACACCGCTCATTTTCAACAAGTAGACATTTTATTTTTATTTGTTGTCGGTATTTTTGTCGTTTGTTTATAATGTTTATGCCTAAATCCAAATTAACTCGAAAGCACGCGTCAAGCGATTATATACCTACGCTATTGAATAGAGACAGATGTACCTATGTTATAAAATTAATTACTGTTTGGTTTGTTTACCAGCGCAGTTCTAAGTAATACAAAGCTTTGGTTCGTGGAACATGACTAAGTAATACTTTATATCAGGCGTTATTCTATGCAGTGTAACACTACATACATGTTTTAATTATTAAAAAAAAACCTTCAATAGTCAAATCACTAATTTATTATCAATAATATTATTATTTTTCCGTAACATGGAGATGTATTTTATAACAGGTCAGGCATTGGGTTCAGACTCGTAGAGGCTAGCGCTCGCAGGCATCCGCTGCCCCACTTTACTCTGTCTGTAGGGACCAGACTCCACCACATCCACCTACACTGAAAACCTCGCGCAGCTAACCACGAGCTAGCTAGAATTTGACTCGTATAATACTATGTTGGTTTGTTTGTAGTACTCGTGGGGCGGCAGTCAATCGCTGCCGACTCCTCAGAGTCAATTATCGGCGCTGGACCAGACGGCCCGAGGCAGATCTGTCAGCTACGCAGATGGTAAGATCTCGGGCAACGCTTTATTAACCACAAATAAAAATATATAGTTAGAAGGTAACACACGTCAAACAAACGCACTGATCCTTTATTGTATTGCAAACATTTAAAAACTAAAATCTTCGATGGTTCCAGTGAGTCACCCAGCCAGGACTCACATAGATAGAGTGATGGAAGAATTTCGTCTGAACGGCGTCGACTCCCCCTACGATCCAGACTCGGACGGCTCCAACAGACGAGCTGGTAAATATTATTAGATATAGCACATCTTCGTGGTTTTATGACCTAGCGACAGATTACAAATTCTGTTTGTAGCATCGATGGTGCTGCAACCTAGCGCGTATCTCAGCAAGACGACACGTGCGGCGCACCACACCGCCCACCAGATGTCGCACCCGACGCCCGTGTTGCCCGCACTCGACCACGGCTATGCTTCCGCTGAGCGTAAGTCATAATACTCTATTAGCAATGCAGTTCTATTTACTACATGTTGTTTACAGTAATAACACAATATGCACACGATAGTTTCATAGTAAGATGGTACATAATAAGTCCTTTTTTTGCAGACGTGGGCGCCAGCGCTGCCACACCGGAGAATATAACGGCTGAGCAGTACCGCGTGCTGAGCTCCTTGCCGCGCGTCGTCGTGCGCGCCCTACTGCAAGTGCTGCGCTCCTTCGACCGCCCGCCGCAAATCGACGAGGTAAATATGTGCAACAATATCTATATACTAGATAAGATGGCTAGTTTGCTTGCTACGATTGGAATAGATTACATTTTGTCTTGTGTGGTGTAGAACCGCGGGTGTGCTTTCTGCCGCGCGAACGGCGAACGCGTGTCGTACTACCAGTCGCACTCGCTGCGGCGCGGCGGCCGCGTCACCTGCCCCGTGCTGCGAGAGCACGTGTGCGCCCGCTGCGGCGCCACCGGCGACTCCGCCCACACCAATAACTACTGCCCGCTCGCCTCGCAGCTCGGTAACACGCTGCATGCTGCACAATGCACGCTACACGCCTCTTGCTCACCACTCGATACGTTCACATCACGTCAACTGCTGTACCGTTGCTATACAATTATCATATTATTCATCTACATATATTGCTTTATTCTCGTCTCTCATGCTAATGTTATAGTTTTTCATCAGAGATATTCCGGCATTTCATTATATGTTAATTATTTTATAACTTTTCAGAGCGTGAACGATCGGCGGCAATAATGCGCAGCGTGCGCATGTCGTCCGAGCGGCGACGCTGGCAGCGCGAGCGAGGACCGGCGCGGCTGGGACAAGCAGCGCCATCTATGTCGCCTGCCGTCACTCACGGCGACAGGGTCTACAGCGGTGAGGATACGCTCGACCCCGTCTGGGCAGAGTTAGAGAAAAAGTTAACGCAGTAAATTACTAATTATATCATACCCAATTGATAATTAAAGGCGTTAGCTTTATTTTACTACTTTACTATTTTGTACTTTTGTTTCTTTCTTTAATTACTCTTATAGTATTTTTGTATTAGTACGCTAGATGGCGTATTTTTTCAATTCTTACAAGTGGACATAAAATAGTTTAAAGCATATGCATAGGAATTATAAAGTAAAAGAGCCTTATTGTTTAAGAAGTAACAATTAATTTGATGTTTTTGTAGTTTTTTTCATGATCAATTTGACAATTTTTTTCGTTTATATAATTAGTTTTTCCTATGGACGACATAAAATACGTTACACCTGTGTCAATATAACATGGATAACTTCATACGAGAATTTTTGAAATCATTGTTTAACACTATACTTTTAATTTTTGACTATGAGACTAACATGATATTTGAATTAATTAATTTCATCGTGTTTTACGTATTAAATTTTGTCATGTATTAAAGTTCATTAAGAAAACGTCATGTTACTAATAACATAACCGTTATATATTTACCAAATTTAAAAAAAATCTTTAATCACTGAAATATTTTTATTGGATATGTTTAACACAAAAATATTAGAATTTGAATATTCTACATGATTTTGTGTGTTTGTTAATTAATATTTTATTGTATGGAAAAATCAATTCTTTAATTAAATTGATTTATGTGTTTATGAAAAGGTTTTTATTAATGTTATAACATTATTAAATCACTTTTATAAACTATAAATCATATTTGATTAAAATTAACATATTTTGTTAAGGAAAATCTTAGTTTATAAGTATGACATATTTTTTCCATTTTTTTTTCTAATTATTAACATGATAGTTTTTTGGCCAGATAGAAATTGGCTCGGTTGATATTGCAACCAATTTTATATAGAGTTTACCTGATTTTTATAAGTTTTTTTTTGTATTGACTATATATTTTATTAAGATGATTATTTACTTATATTTTGATTCGTTTTGTTTCCGCCGGAGACATAAGTATTGTTTTAAAATCTTGTTTTGTGGAAATCAATAAAAAAATTTGATTCATTTTGATGTTTGTTTTTTTATTACTTTGTAAACTACTAATCGCTGTCAATTAAACCAATACGACTTAGGGTCCTTCAAGAAGCGAGCTTATCACCACCTCAAGGCCGGCAACGCATCTGCGGTTCCTCTGGTATTGCTGATGTCCACGGGCGTCGTTGAACACCTCGGTGTTCCCGCTGCTCGTTTGTCCCCTTCTGTTATAAAAAAAAATACTTGGGAATTAAAAATAAAATATTAATTTTCTTTTTGTAGTCTTTGTTAATAAAAATTGAAGTAATTCAGTCATCGAATTGATATACAGAGGATAAATAAATACTGCAGCTAAAGATAGTAAAAGTAGCCAGTATCAGTGCCGGCACTAACGCTTGTTCGCGCTGCTAAACTTTGTGGAACATTAAAAAGAATCACGATTTCGGCGCCTCAATATTCAAAGACCTATGTGACATACTGGCGGACCTACTTTTCATCAATATTCATTTTCAACTCTATTCCAACAACATAAGATTGAATTTTTAGTGAACATTGATAAAACGAAGCTAAAGCGGTCCGAATTCGAATAGTTCATCAAAAGCGCCGCACACAGTTTTCAATTCAAGAATCGAAATTCGAATACGATCGAAAATCGTTCTTATTGTGATTCGATTAATTGCACTTTCTATCGATGTGTTGTATCGATTCTTTTCGATGTTAAAGTTCAAAGTCGCGTGTGATAGTTCTGCCGAAAATATCTAGGTCCCGAGCCGGTCGGGGCGGTATGTGTGCCGCGGAAGTAGGCTGCCGGGGCGGGGGGCGGACAGGGGGGGGGGGGGGCAGATTATGCAGAAGCTTGTAATGAGATAAGTAAGTCGTCTGGGACATTAATTCATTTGGAGATTCATACAATTATTGTCGGTCACGTTCGCTTAATGAACTTACGGTGGAAAATTGAGGTTGAATCGAAGCTTAAATTGATAAAATATTCGAAAGTGAATCTTCGAGTTGGCGATCAAGAATGCAGTGTATCGTGTAAATTAAATGTTTATAATTACTGTCATAAATTAAAAATATTCATGTTAACTGACTATTCGTCGCTTTAACAGACTTTTAAAATGATAAGTAGTAGAAACAGAGGAGGTATTCAAAATTTGCCTTAAACAGCAGTTCTAATGGAACAGAAGGAATGCGATCCCTGGTCTAGTACTGTTGCTACCGATGCGTAGTCGTGTCAATTTTTAATTGTTGTAAACATTATTTATTATACACAGAAAAACTTTTTTTATTGTTTACAGTGCGTAGAATTTGAAAGTGTAAAAATTTTAATGCTCAAATGACAAAGAATCGTCTTCGCCATTGGCTGAGAATAACCGTTACCATGGCAACCATCCATCTTTGCTGTTATTGGCTTGCAATTTTTATCCCTTTCTCGCATAACACTTTTTCAATTTTCTCACCCCCCTAAGTTTAATGTCGTGAAAATATATAGCCTAAAGCATGCTGTAAGTATAGGGCTTTTTATTACAAAAATAATTGTTCAAAAATATTCTGTGATTGCTACGATCTTGCGTTATAAAGAAATGTGTGTTTGCGCTTTATTATCTTACTAATATTATAAATACGAATGTTGGGCTGTATGCATCTCACTGTAATTAGACAAAGATGTAGAACATACCCTGGACGAACACATAGGCTACTAATTCGGTTTTTTTTTAATACCGCGAGGACGGAGTCGCGGTCACAGCTAGTATTAGTATATATTTCTTGTGTCATCTTGTGAAAAATTACACAAGTATTAGTACAATGCAATTTAAATGAGTATTGTAAATAAGCTTAATATTTAATAGTTCATGACAGATGTACAGACAGATTGGCAGATACAATATACAATTTGAAGTAACGGTTCCTCTCGTGCCGAATATAGTGACGTTAATTTCGGGGTCGTCAGAATAATGACGTCCACCTACATGTGGCAGTGCAGAAGTAGCGAACATTTTACCATACAATTCAACTGCCAACTATTATAAGTTTACATCTACTCCAGAGGTTCTCAAACTGTTTCTCCTCAAAGTTTCCAAAACACTATGATGGTCTCCATGCTATGTTTCCTGCTAGATTCTTTTTTTAAGTTGTCAACCAATATTTCTTTATTTCCAACCTTTTTAAACCCTCGTCGCGTCTTTCATGGGTATCTAGACCACTTTGAGAGTCACTGGTCTACAGTCAATTGAACTTGTCACGTTTTGCAACATCGGGGACAAACCTGTGGGTGTTGTACGCTTGGCCCTTGTAACAATAATTATGTTAGTTTATTAAAAACTAGTTGCAGCAACTTCCATTTATTGTATACAAAAATAGCGCATCCAGTTCCAAACAGTTATTCTTATTTGCATTTAACTCTGAGCATACCTAATTCAAAACTAAAGCAATGTGTAATAATCAAGATCCTAATTTAATAATAAAGTTCAGGTTGCGTGTTATCTTATTGAATCGTTGCAAAAGCTTTATCTGCTTCCAAATTGTGCAGTTCAAACAGTAGCTAACTCGTTGCATTGTACTTGAACTATTGAAAAATACTTAACCGCTGTTGTCACTGAGCTTAATCCGAAGTCTCAAAGTATGGTTACTTCGTCAAACAAAGCTCATAATGTAGTTTACTTCCATTTAAAGACATCTTTATATAATTAATACAGTTTATTCATTAAATAAAAGACAGTAGAGTTAGCTCAAGACGACGAGCTCGAACTAAGCTCACGCCCACGCCTTCCTTTCCCCTGCAACCCCCGCAGTCCCCCCTATCGCCGTGGTAGCGGCCACGTGCCGAGAGAAATGGCCGACCTTGTTTCTTGACCCACTGACGACGTCTCGGCTTAGCACGACGCACACCGCCGCACGATCCCCACCCAGCGATACAGCCTGCATTTTCCGAACGCGAAGCCTTTACAACATGGTAATATACTAGAGAAGCAAATACATTATAAATTTATATATGTAATTTATAACATGGTACAAGTGCGTTGTATAGAAGATTATTAGGCCTAATAATAATTTAAATTTAATAAAAGGATTTTAACACAGCTTTATATCACAAAGGCATAATAAGTATGGAAAAGAAATTTGTGTAAATAAAATGTATATCTAAATATGACATTAGCAAAACAAAGGATTAAGGGACTTTAATCACTTCATCATCATCATCATCATCAGCTCACTATACGTCCCCACCGAGGGGTTCGGAGCCTACCCTAAGTTAAGGGTGATCACTTTAACCACTTATTCAAATATATTTCTCTTATGTTATATTTCGTAGAACAACATAGAATCGTGTTAATTACAGTGATCGTATACCATCACACCTACTAAAATTAAAAACGAAAAATTTCTACGATATCTTTGTGACCTTCTCGTTATAATTTCTCAGTAAAGTATAAATAGCATATTTCCCACATCTGTCACGGCTTTGAGAAATTATATATCTGCCTTCATCTGTTCTGTATTGTTCCAAGTCTATATCGTTGTTATCAATCATTTGTTTTTCAATAAAACAATGCATGAGGATTAAAACAATACCTTTCCGATTTATAATCTTCATCCGAGTTGATAAGAGACGGTGGAATTAGAACTAGGGTTTGGTTGATTAAATCTCTTCGAATAGAGGAGAGAGGACCGATATGAATACTCGAACTCAATCCATGGTCGCAATTTATTTTACCGATCTGAAGATCATTTTAACAATTGTAAAACATATTATATGGAGAGCCACTCGTAAGTAAATATTTAAAATAAATTTCGGATCGATCTCAAGAAACGAATATTTATTCCGTCAGTAAGAAAAGGAACAGAAGTTCTATGTGTCGAATGTGTTTGTGCAATTTGTAGATTTATGTAAAACTAGCTGTGCCCGCGACTCCGTCCGCGTGGAATTAAAAGAAAAATAATTAGTAGTGACTATGTTCAAAATTTTTGCCAAATTTCATCGAGTCCATGCAGCCGTTTTGGAGATACCTTCTGATAAACATCCATACAAACATCCCCATTAATAACATAAGTAAGATGT